GGCCTCAGAGTCAAACAGGCGAATTCAACAACGCTACTGCGGCATTCAGATAGGACACCCTCCTCATAGAGATTCCACATATTATGTAAAGAAACCTGCGCTATGCTCCAAGACAAACCTTTAAGTGACTTTGAAGCAACCGATGGCTCTATGATCGTTCGCTGCCTTCGGGAAAACTTCATGAACATGCTTATTACCCCAATATGTCTTATTGTTTGTACAAGACATAAAACTTCTATTAACAAAAACATGGTCAGATGGCTTGGGAATGAACGGGGAACGAATCGAGTTAGTTCTCGAATCTAACTCTGCCATGTGGAAAACCAAAAAAAATTTCTTAAAGGTGGTCATGTACATTCCGAAAGAGAACATGATCAATATCTTGGCTGTTTTGAGGCAATGAAAGAGATTAGTTTGTTAATCTGGAGAGGACTGTGTACCACCTGAATCTCGTTGACTGTATGCTCAATTACACTGGGAAATGTTGACAGTATAGTTGTTTCTATTTAGCTATTTCAGCGAGTAATATGAGTTGTGTGATTGTAGATAATGAGGCTAAGCCACAGACTTTTCGTTAAAAAGGGATTGACAACTTGTGGCATCCAAACTCATGGAGCCATGGAATTTTCTGGAAGCACGTAATGAATTTTTAGGAGTAAACTAAATGAAATTTCACTGCTGCTAGTGTTAAAGTTTATCCTATATTATAATTTGTGCGCATGGTAGCAGGTTTTTGCCCAGAAGTTGCATCGACCTGTTTCCTCGCACCAAACAGATCATAAGATACAGAATGAACAGATTTTTACCATGAACACCGTCCATGAGATACTGTCTAAAAAGTGGCATGGGTCTACCATTTGTATTAATAATCATTTTTATGCTGTTTCTCAGTATCGCTACCAACACAACGAAATTATGCGCATTAAATAAGGTAATTTTGGTAAACACCTGACAGACTGCACCGAAAGAAACCTCTAATTGCAGCCAAATTACACAACCTCTTACGCCGTCAGTCAACAAGGTCGTCCAGCAAACAAGTGTTTGAACAATACCGCAAAAGGAAAGAGTCGTCTCTCAAATGATATCCAAAGCGTCTGAAGTATTTACGCAAGAAAGTTCCTTATAAATATTCCATCTGCCGCTTCAATCTGTCGAGTTAATCCTATATGAAGCCTTATTGCAATTCGTTCCTTGCTGATGATATGTCTGATCTATGATTTCGATTATAGCCATTACTGAATTATATTGTCCCAAGAGGTGAAACTCTCAGGCCTTTCATCGTTGACTGGTTAATGAATGAATGACTGAATGAATAAATCCATGAATGAATGATTACGCGTTACTACACATGTATGCTATGGTGAATTTCTTTTATTTACTTCCCTTTTCTTCAGGCAATGTCATATTGTCTCGTCAATGGCACCACACTGTCGAGCACCTAAAACTTTCCGTCGTTTTCTGACTAGCTACATGAGACCATGGCATGATAAATTCGCGAAAAGATCAGTTAACAGAAGGATGTGTTTCGTCCAAATTCCATCCGTTTATCATAAAGCGTGCATAGCTCAGAAAACATATATATATATATTGCTACTCCAAAGACTCTATCACCAATTCATTGGATATATAAACAGTTCCCGTCTTCTTGAAATGCATTAGTGCAAGCCAGGTTATCAGTGATACAGCTATTTGAACAGAAAAATATGGAAAATAAATAAAATTTTGATGTCAAAAATAACGATACCGGACTGCAAGCGAGAAAATGGGCAGTATAAAAAAGAAACTGTATTTCTCACTTTACAACAACTGCGTTATTGTGACCTCTTGCTGGCAGTCACCTAGAGGGCTGTTTAAGCAGCGGACGGCTGCTTCGCTCAGTCGGACTGAACAAAGACATGTTCAATGCCAAACGTATTTCCCACGATCCGTAGGCACAATCAACATAGGACAACCCCGATATTCACGGTTAGCTTCCGATACCGCTGTCAAATACATGATATTAAAAATAACGATACCGGAATGCAAAAAATGGCAGCGTAAATCATGCAGAAATAATCAATGGACGAGAGACCGCACTGATTCAATGAATGAATAAATCAATTAATCAGTGAAATGAACTAAAGACTATTGCTTGAATAAGTTCATCCTCACATCGACTTATAGAACTTTCAAAAAAATCAGCCATCGAATTAAATACGGTAAAATCGGTAAATAGAGTAATATGGAAATGACAAATTAATACCGAAAACAAACCAAGAAAAATGTTGCGTAAAAAGTTCATAAAATACCGCCAATCGTCATTAGCATCGTGAGGTAGCTCTAGCTAACGCCATCATAAAGATTGCGACGGCTGGACGATGGCTGCAACTATTCTCTGTATGAATTCAATAACTTTCGGGAGTTTGCGAAATGGCGTTGAATCGTTCATCAGTTTTAGCAACGAAGGATTAGCAGTAGGTTGTTCAACCTTTTCAACATTGGCTTTACACGAGATTCGTCGACGTGTGGCACCTTAGGCCACTGTATTGCCGGAAAGGAGAACAGTTTAAACTTAGCTGACGTGTATTAAACCTAAGCATGCCACCAGCAGTTGGTAATTCGTCATCACCGCGAGTTCAACAGCACAGTCGATATCTTAGTGCAAACGTCGAATAACTTGAACCATGATTTGCTTCAATGATTTCATAGGCAACAAGAGGCGAATGGGCACTGTAATATGCTGTGAAAACCGCTATTGGATAAAATATAACATTCCGAAACTTATTGAAAAAGTTATGTACTACTTAATATACTCCAGAGTGCAAGTACACGTTTTCGTTGTTGTGTCTTAGCATATAAGGCGTGTTAACTCGTGAAACATCGCTTGTTATGAGTGAATAAAGTATAGCAAGGTTAATGCAGTCCTGCTTATGCCCAAATATCATGGAGCCACTTAATGTTTGTATTCCATATTGATAATTACAAATAAGGTGACGTACAATGCGCCGAGGAATCTGGTCATCTTGGAAGATGTATTCGCCAGTGCACTTCCTATCATGAATATCTACAGGAAGTAAACTTGATCGATTCGTGGCATCGGCCCACGTGCCAGCAGGTATTCGGGGTTTTTATGGTGTTAAATTGGAA